AATCAGTGAAAAAAAAAAAGGGATTTTCTTCAGCTAGAAAGAGAAGAGGTTAAAATCGTTTTGTGTCAGCCCCACTGTCTTCACAAGTGAGCAATGTTGAGAGGAAATATATCATTCAGGGCTTCATTAATCGTACCAATATTCATACTCTAGTTTCAATCTTCAAACTTGACTCAAGAACCAACAAAAGAACGACGACAAAGTTTAAAAATAGGGAACAGTAGTAAGGAAAACTGAATCAGCAGGTCACAACTGTAAGAGGGATCATCATTTCAAGTTAGATCTAAAGAGATCAATCCATTAGACGCTAAGCACATGAGAAAAGAGTTTCCAATATGAAATTCTAAAGAGCAGTGAAAAAAGATTTGAAAATGAAATCGTACGCGAAATTTTGAGAAAACTTTTCGATATGGACCCAAAGTTGGGACCACGGAAGGAAAACACGGAACACGGATTAGAGGTAAGAAAGATATATTAAACAAAAAGGTTACAAAGGTAGTGTAAGTGTAAGCGAAGCTTACTATGTGCTAGTGTTCAATATTGGTAGTCGTACTCCGCTGCGGATACTACGGTATTAGAATACTCTCTCTCTCTTTCCTCCTCTTCTCCTAGAGTGTTATATCGAATACTTTATATAGTCCTGGAAGAGACCATGTTGTAGGCATGTTACGGTTTCACAACACCCCACTTCCAAGAGTTTTCTTTTTTTTTCCTTTTTGAAAAGGAGAAAAAAAATAAAACTGTTAATACTTTTTCCTCTTGGGATTTACGTCGAGCGGTTGAGTAAATTTTCTTTTCCTTCCTGAGCGTTGTACTTCAGGAGAGACTTGGGACGTGCCGAGATCGAAGTGATCGAAAATTACGTCGATCGGCTCTTCACAGCTATTTTGTAGGGATTCCTCCGATTCCTTCAAACGGCATTTTCTGAGCTGGTTCCAGTGGCGTTTGTAAGTGTTTTTCGGTCCTTGGACAATATAGACCAGTTCGCCAATTCTTTGTTTTATGGTGCCTACTTCCCAGAATGTTATGTTGTTTTTGTAAGCCTTGAAAAAGACTTTATCGCCAGGCGATACGATTTTTTTTAACTTTGCTTGCCGTGGAATAAGTTTGTCGAAAACAGACTTGATTTTCCTTGCGAACATTGTTTCTGCAGGCGACCTTCCCATAGGCGTGTTCGGATTAGGGATTATCCGATACACCTGCAGAAATTGTTGCAATGCTCTATCTGTCGGTGTGCTTAGTGCCTTTTTAAAGCCCTTTTTAAAGTGTCCACGAAACTTTCAGTCTGGCCATTCTACCTAGTGTGGTACAGAGGCGTTGTAATGTGGTCCACCTGATATGACTTGCAGAAGTCTCTAAATTCACTTGATGTGAATTGAGTGCCATTATCTGTAACTATACAATCTACCACAACAAAACGCGCGAATAGCTCGTGTAGAAATCCGATCGTGCAGTTTGTGGTTGGTTTTTTGCATTGTAGGGCCTCAGGCTATTTTTTTTTTTTTTGAGTGGCTATCCACGACAATGAGGCAGTACATGTCTATAGGCCCTGCACAATTGACATGAATTCTTTGCCATGGATGCTCTGTGTTTGGCCATGGTTTGCACGTCTTGGTTGGAGATTTTGCTGCAAGCGCGCATCCTTTGCATGATTCTATCATGTCTGCTATGTCCTTGTCCATATTTGGCCAATAAAGATAGCAGCGCATAAGGCTTTTCGTTCGGTTCTCCCCGGATGTCCCATGTAAAAATCCCTGAGGATTTTTCTTTGTAGGCTTTTTGGAATCACTACGCGGTCATTGTATAGTAGGACAGCATCGCAGAGGGAGAAAACTCCAGGCACATTGGGGGTCTTTATTGCGAATTTTGCTTTTTATGGATTGAATGAATTCATCCTCTCGAGACTCCCTTTTTATGTCGGCCAAAGTAACTAGGAGCTCTCTTATGGTACTCGCGATCATGTTTTTGATTTCACAATTTGTCCTTAGAGAAGCAATCAAAGACTTCTGTATTTTTTGTAATGAGTCCCGATAAACTGTCAGCATGGCAAATATTTTTGGTTGTTAGGAACTCTATCTTGAAATTGTAGTTTAAGAGAATCGTTCCCCAACGAAATAGTCTATTTGCAGTATAGACTGGCAGACCATTTTTAGAACAAAAATTGTAATTAGAGGTTTATGGTCAGTCTGTAGTATGAACCGTCTACCATGTAGGTATCTGTGAAACTTTGTCACAGCGAATATTATCCCTAGAGCCTCTTTCTCTATTTGGGAATAATGTTTCTCAGCTGGAAGCCAGTCCAGGGTGTTTATGCAGAGCAATTTGGAACTTTCTTCTTCCCCGTCTATCTGAAGGTATGCGTCCGAGAGGTCGATTTTAGAAAAAAAAAAATCCACCATTGAGTTTATTGAAAATTTCTTCAGTGCTTGGGAGAGGATAGTGGTGATCTTGCAAGGCATCGTTTAACCCTGTCGAAAAATCTGCGCATACTCGTTTTTGA